AAAAAAAAAGGAAGAAAGAAAGAAACCAAACCACAAAACAAAAAGCTGTATGGGGCTTTCTTGTAACATTTGAAAGGAATAAATGGTGACCCCTTTATGGGAGAGCTCGAGTCCTTCTTGTCCTGGATGCCAGGGAAGGGCCAAGGGAAGATGGCAGTTGCTTATTTAGTTCAACAGCTGCTGCATTTAATCACTGCTCACACTTAATTGACTTGCAGCAGATGTAGAGCCACAGCCACAAAGGACTTTCCCACACCAGCCCTGTCCCTACCCCCGGATTGCTGCTCAACTGGCTGCTGGGGACCTGTTTTTGTAGAGATCCAACCCGATTTTAACTGGTGGTGGTGAGGGGGGGGTGGTGAAAAATCCGGTATTTTTCTCACAATGAGGGTTACTGGGTGAAATTCCCGTTTTTTTAAGCGTGGTTTCTCCGCTTTAAATTAATTTTTTTTTTTTCTTTTTGGTGGCTTTTTAGAGCAGGATTAGCTCCTCTCCGCTGAAAAGAGCACAAAAGGCGTGCGCTGGGAGCAAAGATTTCCTTAACAAAGGGAAATCCAAGGGCACAATGGTGCCTCTATCCCTTCTCCTGTCACCTGCACAGGGGGTTGAGGTGGGTTTTCCCAAGGAAAGGTGGCTTTTCCCACCCCCCCTAAGGAGGAAGGAGCACAGCCCCCGGGGGATCTGCTCCCACCAGCCCCTCCATTTCATGGCCTGCTCCCAATTCCCATCCCAGCTCCCAATTCCCACCTGCTCCTGCTGCTTTGGCTGGCGAAGAAGATGGAGAAGAGCAGAAAACCCATTGTTTGCCCAACAGGCACCACCCTGGGAAGGGGTAAGGACCATCCGGGCTCCTCCCGAGCCTCCAGGTAGGTGGAAATGCCCCAAAACTCCTCGTTTTGTTGTTTTGGTTTTTTTTTTTATGCAGCACATCCCTCTGGGAAGCAAAAACAAGGGACCTGCTTCCCGAGGGAGCAGGGGATTCATCCCTAGTCACAATGGGAGGGGAAATCCATGGGGTGTTTTGCCCCCTTTCCGAACCAGACCCGTCCTTTCCCGAGCCTGCCCCAGGGTCTGTCATCCCGGTGCATCCGCCCCAGCTGCAGCGTGGCAGCCATTTTAGGAATCCCTGGAAAACAAGAGGGACTGCGGATGCTCCCGGGATCGAGGGTGGCGGGATGGGAGGGCGCCTTTTGTTCCAGGATGGGGAGGATTTGCCGGTGTGCTCTGGTGGAAGGGATAACGGGGCTCCCCCCCAGCCCTGGGGTGTGTGTGTGTCTGTGTGTGTTTGTGTTTGGGAAGTCAACTGTGCCCACACAAAGCTGCTTTTTTAGCTGTAAAAAAAAAAATAAAAAAATAAAAACAAAAAACCAGCGGATTTGGCTCCCGTGGCCATTTCAGGTGTGATCAGCTGCACAATTAACCTGCCCCTAATTAAATTAAGGGAAATTTTGTTCGCTCCAAGGCCGGGGGTAAAGCCACTTGAGCTCATCCAAATGGTGAATTCAGCTCATCCAAATGGTGAATTGAGTTCAGCCCTTCCCCATCATTTATTATTCCTTTTCCAGACGCGCTTTGGGCATCGCGAGGCACTGCCAAGTCCAACCCCAAACCCCAGTTAGCAGCAGGGATGCTGCTGGAGGGGAACCCAGCTGGAATTTGGGACAGAAAAGCTCACCCCAGTGACCCTCAGTTGAAGCTGTGAGAAAATAAAACACACCCCCCCAAAATTGTGGCATTTTGAGTCACCTCTCCCACAGAAAAATCCAACTACAATGAGTAGATTCTAAACCAAAACGTTTTGGTGGACGGGATTAAACACTCAGCTCTCTTCCCGAATATTGTTACGCGTGGAATTTTTTTGATGGGATCTCCATCACATCCAGCAGTGGCTCTGAGAATGACCTGACTTCCACCCCCCTCCCTGGAAGTGTCCCCTCGGAGCAGAAAGCAGGCCAGACTCACACCAACCATAGAAATGTACCAGTTTTATTAAAAAGATTCTCAAAATTCAAAATAAACGCATCTTTAAAAAACCACAATATATTTCCCCTCCCTTGCCCTCCCTCCCCCAGACACAAAGTTTACACTGATCTCTCTCTCTCTCTCTCTCCACACACAAACACTGAAGAGCAGGAGTGACACGGCACCCAGATCCAAAGAGATTAAAAAAAAAACTCACTGTGGAAAAAAAAAAAAAAGGGGGGGGGGGGGGGGGGGGGG